TGCGATTGCACCTAAAGATAAAACAATTATTGGTACCAGGTGGATTTATAAAATTAAGAACCTAGAAGGAGGCAATACCCTATACAAAGCTAGATTGGTTGCACAAGGTTATGCACAAAAATATCCGGAGGACTATACTGACACGTACTCCCCCACAGTAAGAACAGAGAGTGTTAAAACAGCTCTAGTAGTAGCATCCGCACTCAATCTTGATGTATTTCAATATGACATACAGACTGCGTATCTACACGCAAAACTAGATAAGGAAATATATGTAAGAGCACCTCACAGTCAATACACTAATAAAAATGAAATTTGGCTATTGAACAAGAGTTTATACGGATTAAAGCAATCTGGCAAAAGATGGTACGATTGCTTGGTAAAAGTACTTAAGACCATGGATTTCAACGCTACCACTGCTGATAACTGTTTCTTTGTCAAAAAGAGTGATGATTACATTGAATTTGTATTGATTTATGTAGATGATATTTTATATATAGGAAAACACAAAGAGAGAAGAGAAATCTTTGTAAACAAGCTAAATGAACATTTCTCGTTGAAATCTCTAGGTAAAGTAAACAAATACCTTGGTGTACAAATTAACAAAACTAGAAGGGGATTCAAACTTACTCAGAAAGATAAGATTATTGAACTTCTAAACAAATGCAATTTAAACAATGCCAAACCCTGTGATACTCCTATGCAAACTGATTTCCTTAGAAATACTGATGAATCTTCCCCTGAATTCAAGGATAATACATTTTATAGATCAGTCATAGGTTCACTTCTTTATATATCTAATTGGACTAGGCCAGATATTGCATTACCACTCAATTTATTATCAAGGCACGTTAGCAAACCAACAATGTATCACTGGGAAGCTGTCAAAAGAATTTTAAGATGTCTGAAAAGTACATTAGACTTTTGCCTAGTATTAGAACCTAGTGATAATAAAGAACCAAAACTTACATGTTACGCAGATGCGGATTGGGCTGGAGATATATCATGCAGAAAAAGTACTTCTGGTTATATTTTTCTGTTAAATGACTGTCCAGTTTACTGGTACACTGGTAAACAAGAACTGGTAGCCACTTCAACCACAGAAGCGGAATATGTTTGTTTATCCAAAGCTGCAAATAACCTTGTATGGTTTAATGATTTAATTTCAGATGTTTGGAAAAAACCTGCTTTGCCTTTTGTTATGCATGAAGACAATAAAGCAGCCATTGAAATATCTAGATCCGATGCCATTGGACAAAGATCCAGGCATATAGATATAAAATTTAAGCATGTGAGACAATTGTCTCAAGATGGATTTATCAAAGCAGTGCATTGTGATACCTCTGAACAATTAGCTGACATATTGACGAAGCCTTTACCTTCTAAACAGCACAAATACTTAACTTCCAAATTGTATGTCTTATATTGTCCTGAATCTGAATGTAATTGGTGTTGTATAGCGAACCGGCATTTAGAGGGGGATTTGTCAGATGTAAATGCCTTATTCCCTAATGTGTAAATAATGTATATATGGGATATCAGGGGTTAACTTATTCTTTGACTCTTAATGTATTCATAACTCACCATTCCCACTCTTGGCTCCACCCTTTGTATATATAAGGAGCCACCTTCACCATTTTCTTTGCTTCTATCTGTGATTATTCAGTGAATATAGAATGCCTATTATAATTAAAGAGAAATATATTTAAACCTCTAACTCTTATTATTATTATTGAGTCTGATCCTGAAAATATTGCAACACTCTATTTGCTTCTTTGCTTCATTCTGGAGAGCTTAAATGACCTCTCTGCTAAAGGGTTTCACTTTATGAGCAAGAGTTGGCTGCTGATAGTTATCATTGCATTTTAACTATTTTAATTCCTCAAGGTATCTGGCACCCTCCCTGATTTGTAACTCCAGTTTGCAGGTATTTCTAATCTAATGATTGGTATTTAGGGCAGCTTTTTGCAAGCAAAGAAGCTTTTTGTATTTTTGTACAGGTAATCCTTGACTTACAACTGTTACAATGGCACTGGAAAAAGTGATGTATGACCGTTTTTCACACTTATGACCATTGCAGCAAACTGTCATTAAGGCAAAGAAGCGATGCCACATGACCACCTGGCCATGGCCACCCAATCACATGAAGCACTGCAGTTGTGAAATGAGTGATACGGTTGTTAAGAATGCTGCAATGGGCATAAATGTGAGGATAGTCATATGTGTTAGGACCAGTCAAAAGTGCGAGGACCGGTCAGAAATGACTTTTTTCAGCCCTCTGATTAGTCCCTATACCCGGTCACATGATCAGCTAGCCACACCCACCCAGTCACATGACGACCAAGCCATGCCCACCCAGTCACATGACCACCAAGCCATGCCCACCCAAATAAGCCACGCCCACAGAACCGGTTGTTAAAAAAATTGAATTCCACCACTGGCTCCAAGCAAATGGTGCACAAACTTCAACAGCTCTTGCGCCGCCGCCTGCACCACTTACTTGGAGCTGGTTTGGAAAGGGAAAGAACGCAGCCAAATTGGCAAGAGTTTTTGAAGCTTGCAGACCGCAGCCCGTCCCAGAAAAAGGCATTCGAAGAAATGGGAGCTTTGCCACAGACCCCTATGTCACCAGAGGCCTTCCCAGGGTGGCTACTATGAGCCAACCAGGCCTGCCACCCCACCTGCTGAGGATCCAGGTGGGCTGCCATGGGGGGCGGGTGCCGCCGTTGCCACCACTGCCATTCCACCAGGAAAGCCAGGGCCAGTATCAGTAAGAGTTGGAAGGGACCTTGGAGGTCATTTAGCAACCCCCTTCTCATGCAGAAGGACTATACTAGGGATTCGAACCACCTTTTAATTCTAGACACTGCAGCCCACCCCTGCCTCCTCAGGTGTTGGAGCATGTGGGGAGGATGCTTTTCAAGGAGCCACAAGGGGGGCTGAGAGCAGAGTTATTCTGACAGTGTCTTTTAAAATTGCTTGGAAGAACAATTTTTTCCCTAAAAATAATGATTTGTATACTGTGGAATAAAACATATGCCTGGAAAAAGTACTTGGAAAACTTAGACAGAAGGAAAAGAAAGGCAGGAGTGGACTCATTATCAGTAGCTAGTAGTTCGTTGTTATCAGTGACTCCCACTGATTCTAAACTCATTTTAAGACTGGGATTGGTGACTACTGAAATTTAAGTATTCAACACTGGTCTCAGAAATCTTTGAGAACCTGCAGAGGTGAAGACATTAGGTGGCCATCAGTCATTACTTTAGTGATGTACTCAAAGAGATCAGGCATGACATTGCTTATTTATCAGAACTGTTTGCAAAGTTCAATGAAGTGAATTTGCAGTTGCAAGGAAATGAGGTCAATCTTATTAAGGCCAAATCTGTCATTTATACGTTTATTTCAAAGTTAGCTATTCAAGGGCAATATAGGCCATCACGAGCTATACCAGTTTCCCAGCTTGTCCGAGTTAGAAGAGAAAGGTGGGATACAAGATGATGATCTGCAAGTTTTTTGTGACCATTTGGACATGCTGCATAAAGATACGTCTGAGCGATATCAGAATCCTCTTTTGATGGAAATTCCAGATTGGGTGATAAATCCATTTTCAGATACTGAGGAAGATGGGGTAGTGGAGGAACAACTAATAGAGCTGCAAAATGACATTTAGCTGAAGCCAAAGTTTAAGAAATCGTACAAAGAGTTTTGGTTACAGAAGGAAATTTCTGATCGCTATCCTGCACAATGGACAGTGGTTAAGAAGCTCCTTGTTGCATTTCCAACATCATATTTGGTGGAACGTGGTTTCAGTGTGGTCATCCAACTTCTCTCCAAGCAAAGAAATCGACTCCAGATTACTGAATGTGGTGATTTAAGACTCCTGCTAAGTGACTTAAAACCAGACATTGGGAAACTGGTATCATTTCATCAAGCCCATCCATCACATTAAGAATTTACTGAACAGTGAAGTAGTTACTAAATTTTACTGAGTTTACTAAGTTAGTAGTTACTAAGGTTCTTGATAAATGACTATCAGACTTTGAAAACCTGCCATCACTGGATCATGTTCAACAATTTTGTTGAATTAATGAAAGATTTTTAAATTGGATTTTGAATAAATGTGCGATTAATTGTTAGTTTTGAATTTTACTGTTACTATCTTCCTTAGTGGGTCGTGCAAACCGCTATTCAGAACAATGCTATTTATAGGGGTAGGAGGCACTGAGGATGAGTTTGTAGCATCAAGGGAGCAGTGGATTGAAAAAGTTTGGGAACCACTAGGCTAGATAGTAGAAGAACAAGTAGAATGAAGATATGTCCATTTTAATTTTCCTTTCTAAACATTATTAAGCACAATTATTTACTTGTATAATGTGGGCTATTTTGCTGTTCAACTTAGTGACGGAGATAGCATTATAGTAATACATCTTTTCAGAAGCATTCTTCTAAGTGACTGGTGTATGCTTAGAGTTGAAATTTAGGCAACATGTGACACTTTGGATCATTGTTTCAGTTATTTCTTTACTAGATGTCTTCATGCCTTCAACAATGGCAGAGCTTCTAATGTACTTGAAAAGCTTTTATAAATTCAGGGAGATATTCAGAGATGTTTCTGCCTTGAAAATAGTTCATGTTGAACTGTATAGTTAAACATCAGCAATTGATCACAGGAAATGTTTTGTGACATTTTGTATTATATGATAAAATACTTTATAACTTTTATGTCATGTTTTATAAAATTTGCCAAATTTCAATTCCATGGGAGTCATAGGTCATAAGTCCTGTAAATTGAGGTACCTTGATTCAAAAAGTTTTGTTCTAGCTTGCCTCATTTCACCCAGTTAAAGGTTATAGACACAAGAGTTTTAATAGTATATATGGTTATATATACTTCTTATTTAGATCAGGACATTTATCAGGACAAGCAAAATAGAATTCCTTTACAATAGATTGCCTAATACATTTTGTGACCAAACAGTAATTTGATGCCTCTATAACAGCTCATTCTTATTGCGGTAACATAATGGATGTGGATACCACTGGGGCTTCTCTTGAAACTGGAAAACAAGAAGGCTTGGAGTTTGGGGGTAAGATTAACCTATATCTGAATATATTTATGTTGTTAATATTGATATAATGTAAATGTTCTTTCTCTTTTCTGTTCAATGTGTTAAGTCTGTATGCTCCTTAATAGAATATCGTTGCTTCTTTTCTTCTTTGGAAAAAAAATAGATGTTTGTTGCAACTATACAAATAGCCTAAACATAGCGATTAGATTTGCTTTATAACAATCTATACAATTGCACAATTATATCCCTACAGCAATAGGTTCATATTCTTAAAACAACTAAGGGTTTCTGTCTCCTCTTAGGAATGAGAATTGAGAGAACTTTTCTTTGGCATTTAATTTTACTTCTTCATTGTGGTCCATTCCGTAGTCCTTGCTATGGTTTCTGAACATTACTTCTGTTTGCTTTTTTCCTCTAATATCTTTTCCCCCATCCCTACTTTTGCCATAAGAACCACTCACTTGTTGGCTGTTGTCCTTTGTGTAAATGTATTATTTTGGTTCCTATGTCCTGCTTCCTGTTTCCCCCCCTCCCACCTTACACAATAAATTTAATACATATTTGCTGCTCTTTTTGTGTGCCTTCAAGTCAAGTTTTTTAACTCACAAATACCTGGAGTTTTCTTGGCAAGAATTTGGAAGTGGTTTGCCATTGCTTTCTTTCTAAAGTTAAGAGTGACTCATTCATGGTCACCCATCTGGCTTGATGATTAAGGCAGGACTATAACTCTTCCAGTTTCTAACTTACCCATTACACTAAATTGGCCATGGTGTCCTTGATGCTCTCTAGGCTTGGTTGTTTCATTACCCAACTAGGTAACATCATCAGTTCTAGGCTCTTTGATGCTCACCTAGGTGGCAGCATTTACTTTAATTTCAAAAATGAACAGCTTCCATTGTAGTTAATTCAGATGCTAGAATGGAACATTGCTGGAAATGTGGATTAGATTGAAAAACTGAAAAAAAATTTTGAAGAAAGCAATGGCTATGTTCATGAAGTACTTTTCTAGTTTTCCAGAAACTACAATTTTTAACAAAGTTACTGATAAACCCATCAATAGTAGCAATGTGACATCTTGACCGTTATTATGCAGATGGGCTTCCTATTTGATGACATTCTTACCCGTATTTACCCGAAAATAAGACTCTGTCTTATATTTTTTTGAACCCTGAAATAAGCACTTGGCCTTATTTTCGGGGAGGTCTTATTTTGGGGCGCATGGAGGAAACCAGAGGAAATGGGGACCGGCTGCACATGTGTTTAAACATTTTCGGGGACGGCTTATTTTCAGGGGGGACTTATTTTAGGGCATGTGCTCAAAAGCCCGATTGGGCTTATTATCAGGGGATGTCTTATTTTCAGGGAAACAGGGTAAACATAAAAACAGCTGTTCTGTTTAGTTTAATTCCAACTGTTATTTTAAATCAGAAGCACATTTCTCATGTTTGTTTTTTTCCCTCTGCAAGGGGTTGAGGCTTCAAAAATAATTGCAAGGAGAGATCTAAACTATCTAGAGAAGTATAAAATGAAGATTAAGCGTGTCAGTGAAAAAACAAATATTGATGTAGCAGTGATTGCTGGTATAATATCTCGAGAATCACATGCTGGAACTATCCTAGAAGATGGTTGGGGTGACCATGGAAATGGATTTGGATTAATGCAGGTAAAAACTTTTGTTATAAATTAAGAAACACACAATGTCCAATCTTCAACAACTCAAAGCAAAGATATCCTGGAGTAATTATAAGGTGTGATTATAATTGTCCCCAAGCAAAATACAACCTTGTATAATGGAAAGTTTTCCCATTTCTCCCTAAATTCACTCTCTGCCCCCTCTTTATAGTATCTTTCCCATGTTCTGACTGTACATCTTTTGGTAACTGATCTGTATTTTTTAATTATTAGCTTGTAAAAGCAATTGAACTATCCCAGCATAACATAATCATAGCAATAATTATTACATAATAAAGGCATTTCATCATTTTTCAGGTGAATAAAAGATATCATAAAATAGTTGGCACCTGGGATAGTGAGGAACACATTACTCAGGGGGCTCTCATTCTCTGTAACATGATAAAGGAGATTAAAAAAAAATTTCCATCATGGACAAACGAACAGCAGCTCAAAGGTATGAAACATCATTCTACTAAAATCTATATAGAATCTGTTTTATGTCCAGATCCTTCATATCATTTTTCCATGTGACTCAGTATTTATACCATGTGATAATGGTTCTCTGGTTTGAAGAAGAAAATAGAAAATTCCCAACCAAAGATGAGATCTTTAGAAAAGAAATATATATGCTCTAGCATTCATTTATGATAGTTTTTGTTGCCAACCAATCCTTTTTTATTATTCACCTAGTACAGGTGGCCATTGATCTACAACCACAATTGAGGCCCAAATTTCCATTGTTAAGTAAGACAATTGAGTTTTGCCTCAATTTATGACCTTTCTTGCCACAGTTGTTAAATGAATCATTGCAATTGTTAAGTTAGTAAACATTTTTGTTAAGTAAATCTGGATTCCCCATTGACTTTGCTTGTCAGGTCATAAAGGGAGATCCTGGGACACTGCAACTGTCATAAATACATGCCAGTTGCCAAACATCATTGTGAATACTCAACAGTCAAAAGTGTGAAAAATGGTCATTCACTTTTTCAGTGCTGCTGTAACTTCAAACAGTCACTAAATGAATGGTTGTAAATTGGGGACTATTTGTAGTTAGTAATTGGAAGTCTACTGGAAAAGTAGATAACTACAGATCAGATGTTGTCATATTGAAGATAGACAAGAATATTTTTCCACATCATTCAGATTAGAAACCAGGTTACAGATAATCCTCAATTTACAACCGTAATTAAGCCCAGTATTAACTGTAAGTTGTTGAAGTCAAGCAAAATGCCCTTTTGATTGCCTTGCCCAACCACTGCAATCTTGGCTCCTCCTTAGATGACTGTATGGGTCATTAAGCAAAGTGTTGGGTGTCTCAGGAGGTGGGATACCTTTAGAAGCCTGCCTCAAGCCCACGCCTGCACTGCAGCACCTTCCCAGCTCATACAGGGTTTGCACCAGACCTTCCCCACCCAAGGTACACCTTGCACGGCTTCTTACCCAGACCTCGGGCCTGCTTCCTGCCCGCCAGTATCACAAGACTTGGATCCGCTTCCTGCCCTGCTGGGTCCCACATCCTTGGGCCTCCTCGCCACCCCTTCACATTTTGCATCACTTACGTATTCTGAAGATCACCTTTCCAACAGAGTGCCCAGCTTATGGGTTCAGAGCTTCCTATAGAGGACCTACCTTGCATCATTTGGTAAGTGAGTGCCATTCGCACAATTTCTCAGAAGGATACGATTTTCCAAATCCTGCTCTTCTGAGAGATCATGAGAATGCCCCTGCTACCAGAATGACACCTAATTCCAGAATGGTGCAAGGTGGTGTATTTAGGAAAGCTCCACATCACTGGGCACTCTTTCAGAAAAGTGATATTTGGAAGAGGTAACTGGAGCAAGACATGTCAGGATGGGAAGGAGATCCAAGACTGTGGACCTAGCAAGATGGGAAGCAAGCCCAAGGTCTGGGGGTAACCAGCGAGGCAGGAAGCAGAGCCAAGGCTTATGAGATCCCAGTGGGGTGGACCAAGACCTGTGGGACCCAGCCAGGTGGGAAGTGACTCCAAGGCCTATGGCGATCCAAACGGGAGGAAAGTCCAAGGGATATAGCAGGGCGGGATGGGGGGAAATACAGGCAGGTGGGGCCAGTTGCAGTTTCCCAGCAGTCAGTTGTCAGGGCAGGTGGATTGCCAAACATCTGGAGTTTCATCACATGACTATAGGAGCACTACGGCAACTGTAACTTCAAGTACAGGTTATATGTTCTTTCGTTTTGAATGGTCCCTGAATGAATAGTCGTAAGTCAAGGACTACCTGTATACAGAAAAATACTAGAAATGTTATGCTTCATGATACATGAATTACAAAATATATTTTCTCTCTTCTATGGTAGTATAGTTAAACAAAACTTCTGCTCAACTTTCTGATACAAATAGAAATTATGCATTCTTAGAAGCATCCTTTAAAAAAAATGTTAAGTGGTAATCTTATGAATATATAATTTGAAACAAGCCCTTCAAAGGCACATTTGTAGGTTATTGCAGGCAAAATTATTCCAAAACTTTTATTTACTTCTACTAAGTAGAAAGAAAAAAATATCTTTTGTTCTGAATATCATGCTTTACCTCTAATCAGCTATTTAACTTATTTTGTATCAGGAGCATGGTTAATCCAATCTAGATTCAGTTTATGATTTGTTTTAGCATTTGAGGAATGGCTACATTATGTACTTAATGTAACTTTGATTTGTTCATTCACTGTTTAAATGATAGGTGGAATTTCAGCCTACAATGCAGGACCTAAAAATGTCCAAAGCTATGAGCGAATGGATATAGGCACTACGAAGAATGACTATGCCAATGATGTTGTTGCAAGAGCCAAGTTTTACAAAACAAATGGATATTAAAAATCTAGAACAAAGATGCTATCATTTCAGTCTTACCCAAATTTTGTATGTAACATTAGCAAGATCTATTTGCTGAATTCTACAAAAATAAACTTTTGCCAATTTCTGCAGAAAATAAAGCTATATTGCTATTTTATGGTCGCAATCACATTTCATGCAAGCAAGCTTGTATTACTATTATGGAACTTCCTTTCTCCCCACTCTTTGTTCAACCACACTATTATATCCTTTTAACTTTAGTCTGTGGAAGAAAATCAACAGGACCTATCTACACTGCAGCATCTAATGTAAGTCATCCTTAGTGGTGAGCTGGGGAAAGATGTGAAAATATTTTCAATTACTGACTTAGAACAGGGTAAAACTGCACAATGAATGTGCAAAAGAATGTGACAATCAATGGAATAAGCCAAGGCTGCAAAGAAAAACATTTATGTCATCTATAGAGGCCTACTTGTGCATAGGAATTTATATTCCCACAGGCTCCAAGCCAAACTGGGAAATCTGAAAGGTCCAGGCATTAACATGTGAATGATTTTTTTTTAAAATGTTATCTAATTCTGGGTTTTATTCAATTGACCAAACTAAGTAATAATTTTAATTAGTAATTTTATGATGTTTGTGTGTCTATATTTTTCTTGACTGTACACCGCCTTCAGTCCTACTGGAGAAAGGCGGTATAGAAATATAATAAATAAATAAATAAATAAACAAACAGAAATCTGGGGGGAATACTGCTTTTGGGAGACAGTCAAAATGGACTTCTCCATGGAGTCACTATCTGTAATATTTCAAATCAATTTAACACAGACAGCTATAAGCTAGCTGCAACTTATCTAATGTTGCTCCCCCTTTTGCAGTCCAAATAAATTGCATCTACAAACTGGCCTGAATTCCGTGAGCTCATAACATTACACTGGAAATATAATGAAAGTTCCTGAAAGTAAGTTAGCATCACAAACATACTGTTAGCCTGTTGAAGAGAATTGCTCAGATCATCATGGGTTGGAAAAAAGAATCGGTCATAGATCCAAAGAAAATGTTTTAGTAATGGGCAATTTCCATTATCTACATAGACTGGATAAATGTATATTCAACACATAACAATTTTCCCTGATGTGATCAATCAATCAGTCAATCATTACTGATTCATAGAACTAACACGAGGGGATAAACAATTAATTCAATGTAATACACTAGATCTGATAAGAGACTTAAAATTTGAGTAATGAATTAGAAATGTGCTACATTATTTCTACAAATATTTAAAGACGCCTCACATCCTGGACATAAATTGTTTCAACCTCTGCCCTCAAAATGACACTATAGGGCACTGCACACCAGAACTAGACACAAAGACAGTTTTTTCCTGAATGCCATCACTCTGCTTAACAACTAATTCCCACAACACTGACAATTTATTAAGACTGTATTACTATTATTCTTCTCTTCTTTCCTAGTATCTATCTCTTCCCACTTATGACTATAACCATATTGCTTGTATCTTTCAATTTATATTGTTTTATTTGTTTACTAGTATGATTTGATAGCTTATTAGTAACCTTGACTATCATTAAGTGTTGTATCTTTTTATTCTTGATGAATGTATTTTATTCTCCTTATGTATACTGACAGCATATGCACCAAAGACAAATTCCTTGTGTGTCCAATCACACTTGGCCAATAAAAAAGAATTCTATTCTATTCTATTCCTGGACTACTTCACTGGGTATGTACTGTGAAAAAAAAAAGAAAGTGTAGACCTGAAAATATGTGCAATCAGCTTCTAAACAGACCTTCATTCATGCTTTAATTTTAATACTTTAAAAGCTGTTAAATATGGATTTCCTGGCAGAGAAACAGTATATAAATTGTCCAGGAAGCAATCACATTCATATTTCCCATAAAACAAAAAAAGTATACAAAATTAAGTTAATAAAAAAGGTGAAATGAATGTCAGAAGAATCAGATATCTTTAAACATAAGATTTTCCAAACAAAACAGTTCAGCTGAAATGTTTACCAACCAAAAATGGGATAAGTAAAATTTGGTACATGCCGGGGTACAAGAACATCATCCATATACATATTCACAAGACTTCTGTCTGAAAATGGAAAGCTTCCCCAAATGAAAGGGGGAAAAAACAGATATAAATACTTTCAAGTCAATTGCTGAATGAAACAAGATATAGAAATACATCTGTCTGAAAAATTCCAGTAGGAGCAAATCTGGTTGCAGGCTACCTCCTGAAGGTCAGTTACAAAATTCAATTTGTACAATTCAATACAATTCTCAACTTAATACATTTATTATATAAAATATTAATACATAATTATGAAGAATCAGATGTGTTCTTTTCCACTTCTTTTAGATGGCGACAAACTATCAGTTCACCTGTGACCTTGTTAAGATAGGTATCAGGTATTTCATCTTCAGTTGGAATTCCATAAGGCAATTTTAATGGTTTTATTCTAGTCAAAAAGAGAGGGGAAAACCAATCTATTAGTGTTTTTACACAAAAGCAATTTCAAAATATTGCTGATGAGAAGAATTACCAACCTTATTAGGTGTTTAATGACTTTCAGTTTTGCATTCACAGAAGGGATGTTTTTAAGCACCACTGGATCAAATCTCTGTAGGTGATATAAAGCTGGTCAGACAATTCAGTTTCCAATGCATCACAGAAGTGAATTTATGAGAACAGCTATAGTAACAAAGTTTGATTAGATTTTAATAAATATTAAATCACTGCAGACACTATATATTCAGTAACAATAAAACAATTTTTTATAATCCCTTAAATTGATTTGTTACAGTTTGCTATTAAAAGTAGTTTTCCTTTAGAGGCCATAATTGGGATCAACAACTAAGGCAAGTGGTTGCTAACCAAGACTGTGATTGTGATTATGATCTTACTTCAGCTTTGCTTTGCAGACCTGCAATGGTTGTAAATGCAAAGACTGGTTATAAAGTTATTTTTTTATCAGCAACATAATTTGAATGATCATTATTACACAAGGCAGTCATTAAACAAGAACTACCTGTAAAGCTAACATTTGTTAAAGCATTCATGGACTTAACCATAAATATAATTGCTTAAAGATGCAGACTCCTTAAGTATTCTTGATTTCTATACTGATTCAGCAGTGGAGAACAACATGTAAAGAGGGGAATTGTTAAGAGGTCTGATATTAGCTGCTGTGTCAGGTCTCATCACCTGTCTGCTGCTGTGCAACCCCCAGGTGACTGCTCCTAATCTCATGTAGTCCTCAGAAGCAAAATACTGTCCTGATTCTTACAATCCATTCCTTAACTATTTTATATGCTAGAGAATTTTTCATTTATAATACACATTCCATGAAGAGAAAAGTAAGCCTGTAAGTAAGAACTTAATTTTTTCTTTTCTTCTCTTTAATATAAGATAATGCCAAAAAAATGAATGCCACCACAGATTTGGTCTTATTTATTATTAAATCTGTATGTCACACAACTCTTTGCTTCAATTGTGTTGTGACCAGTCTCCTAAAGATAAAGGAGGAATGAAACTCTGTGTTATGCCTGTCATTTGTAATCATTGTGACATAGATATAAAACTTCTTTTCAGAAATCACTTATATAGAACACATTTTGTTCACTCTCTTCCTCATTTGTTATAATCCTTCAAGAACAAAAGCACTTCAATTCTACTTAGTTGTATGTTACACTTAATTCAGTAACCAGACAGACACATAAGAGCAGCAACTTTTTAACTCAGGGAGACTGCCTTCATAGCATAGTTTAAAAAAATACATTTCTGAGACGCCATTACTGCATTTTAAAATGGCAAGACCCTGAAGATATTGCCAATTCTAACACTGACATCAAAATGCTTCCATGAAAGCAAAAGTAAAGATCTGAAATGGTTGTGCAAGGACATCTTAAAACCTAAGATAGGAGGAAATCCTCACAGCAACCATCTGGTAAGGACAGAATGTTGTGATTGGCAAGATACAATTATCCCCAACTAATAACCAACCAACCAGCTATTTACAAATGGATCTAACTTTGGTAAAATTTACTGTTCTTTCCAAACTGCTACATGGGGTGAAAATCACCCAGCCTGATGACAAAACTTGCCTTAAACAGCTCAAAATAAGAGTTTACTTACAAGTAGCTAATGTTGAGTTCAGTGGGTGCTAATGTATAATCAGGGCCTGGAAGTTATGCAAGGTTGGATTTAGGGGAAACTATAAGGATTGTATAGAACTGATGATGTTACCTAGTTTGGTAATGAAGCATCTGCAGGAAAGCAACCAAGCTCAGAAAACATCAAGGACCCCACAGTTCATCCCTGAGCTACAAATATTCTCTTTTATCAAAGCTACAAGAAGTTAGCAGAACTAAAGGCTACACTGGAAAGAAAAAAAAAGGGGGGGGGCGGGGAGAATTAGAAGCAGATTATTTCCATGCTATTGCCAAATAAACACTGTGGCTATTTGGAATCAATAGGCAATTGCAAATCAAGATTCGCTTTTTCTTTTGATACCAACCTTCTGCCTTACAATGAAAATGAACTCTAATCTTTAAGTCAGTATTATAACTTGTGACATGGAGCTGTTCTAGCTACAAATTATTTTAGCATGTGGGCAAATATCTCAAAATCTAGGCATAGACAATCATTTTGTCCAAATTAACTCCACAAGCACAACTTCTGAATAAATTCGTATGACTGAAATTTATGGAGGAATATTAGAGGTGGGGAAAAAAATCTCTGAATGCTATATATTAGTTACATACTTTTGTTAATCCAAGCTCTTCAAGCAATTCTTTCTCCCAATAAGGACGCCGTCTTCCACTTCTGATCCTCGTGATAAGATGTAGTTTATGAGGCTCTTCTGGATTACCACCATATTTTTCATGATCACCAGGTTGTGGTTGAAATACCTAAAAGAAATTAAACTCTCATTATTAACCAATCCAATAAGTAAAATCAGTTATTATTTCCAGGGTTCATCTTCACATTAATCATGGCACAAAGATGCCCAAATAAACATTCTTAAACATATTACCCTCTAGCTATTCCCCTCATTTTATCCCAGATATCAAAGACACATTTTAAAGTTGTATTTAGCTTTCCATGTTTAAACTACGGGTTTTCCTCCTTTTTTATCACAATTTATTATTTGCTGGCATTGTTACTGGCTAATAAATTGGGTTACATGTGGTTGAAGAGACTACAAGGGTCAAATTTGGGATTAAGATAGAGCAAGTCATTTTTAAAAAATACTCTACCAGTTACCTCTACAGACAAGAAAGCTACAAAGAGGGTGTATTAATTAGCAAGAAACTAGGTGAAATAAAATAACGGCTTAAGTATGGATTCTGTAGCCAGGAAGGTACATCAGAAACAAAGGCAAGTTAAACTCTGACTAGTTCAGACCTACATAATTCAATTTTAAAAACACAAAGGTAAAATCATATTTTCACAACAGATTTTATGTGGTAAAGAACACATTTTGACCATTTTCATTTGTAGTTTCATTTTAATTTGTAACTGTAATGTTTATTTTTTTAACCCAAGGCTTACTGATTCTGGAATTCGAGACCTTGTAAATTTCTGCCTAATCCATATTCTCCAAAGGATTGGTTCGCTTTTTGTCAGATTCTGCAGCGTAAGAAACAAAGGAGAAAACAATGTAATACTTCAGAGCTTAATACATAAACACAGTCAAACATATCAATGTTTCAAATAAATCATTAATGACAAAATTCACGTGCACATATATTGACGCTACGGTATTAAGAAGCTATCATTTTATATTCCTGGAAAACCAAAAGCATCAGAGGTTCACAAGGAACCACATCATATACCAGACATTCACGTACATTTAAATCAGTTAAATTGGAAAGTATAAATAGTTTACAAAGTAAAAAGTACATGAGCGCTTGCTAGTCTCCAAGGCATCCATTTCCCCCAGAATCGGGGTTTTTAATTAAAAACACATTTAAGAACTACGGCTATGCTTTATTCAGCTCCAGCAATGATGTTCCGCAGCATAAAGGGATTTCTGCAACTTCTGCAATCCTCTTCCTAATAACACAACTATCTGAAGTTTACAGAAATATTTTAATCACTTCCAGGCTTCTCACCTGCCAAGCGGATACGGAACACCTCCAGGCTGCCATTTTACACCGCCGATTCTCCTTCTCGCGATGAGAGGCACCAATCACGTGTAAAGTCTCCTCCTCCGGAGCCACCGGAGCCACAGAAGGGACGCCGACTGAGCTTTGGGTCTTTCTAAGCTTTCACTTTCCGGTTCTTTGAAATCACGTGAGCAGAAAAAGACGCCCCTTTTCTAATTTTGCTGGGCGGCACGGATGGCCACCTTTGTTTTTGCAGATTTGCCGCGTTGGGCACGGGCCGTTGCATTTGCGGCTACAGCGTCGGAGGAGATCCCGGCCCTCCGCAGAGGAAAGTGTCGCGACTCGTGCAGGGCGTCGATTGACATGGAGGACTCGGCGGTGGCCGTGCTGAAGCGGGCGGTGGAACTGGATTCGGCTTCGCGTTTTCAGGAGTCGCTGATTTGCTACCAGGAAGGGATCGATCTGCTCCTTAGTGTGCTGAAAGGTGAGAGTTTCGTCTTCCCACCCCTGAACTAGGAGGTGAATTGGCTTGTGCGGTGCCACATTTCGCCGATCTCAATAAATCGGAAAAAAAGAATTTTGCTTGCCTTGTGCATAGCCAGAGATGGATTGCATATGGACGCGGAAATTCTAATTGTAAGGGATCTTTATCACTGAATGGAGAAGACCTGCATTTGATCTGTTCACTTTGCTTAGTATTTAAAAGTTTGCAGGATTTAATGCAAAAAGTGTACTTTCACCACCTATAGAACTGGGCTTGATCAAAATATTTGTTGCCCTGTATTTGTTTAGGAACCTCTAATTAGGTAGATGGTCCACTCCCTGCACCCTGTTTAACTCATTTGGATTGTAAATTTATAATATGCTTGTGCTGGGATTGTTCTCTTTCCTGATTCGGGTTTCATTAGAAATATTCTGTGTTATTTTGATATGCCCGAGTCTTGGATATGTCTGCTCCCATAGTTGTAAATTTTGTAAAATATAATGGGAAATAGCCTGAAGCATAATCATTAATTCAAATAAATTCAGTTGGTATAATTTTTAAGCAGAAATTACTGTATGGTGTTCTTTAGGTCCACATTCTGGGTTCAATGAATTTTAATAACTACATGAAACCATTGGGGAATGTTTCAAACTGAATGAATGTTAAGGAAACAAGTTTCAGAGATGGAAAGCTTTTCTATACTTCTAGATTTTGATTTTCTGTTTTCTCAGACTGAGATAATAGCTACAAAATTCTGTCAACCATGGAGGATAAACCAATTGCATCCTTTCCTGGAAGAAAACTACCAATGGTAATTGAGATCGGGAACTGTTGCTAGGTAACATCATTGTAAAGAACACCATCATGTAATTGGGCTTATCTGTGATAGAAATTCCAGCACTTCCACCTAATGTCATTAGACAAACCCGTATGGTCTCAGCATCCTAAGGCCATGCAATTGCCATTTGCAAGTCTATGCCTGTTTCCTCACTGACTGCTTGTTGGAAGCCAGCAGTGAGGGTCTCAAATGCTGATCGTGTGGCTGTGGGATGCTGTGACATTGTAATTGTAAGCTGATTACCAAGTGTCTGAATTGCGATCATAAGACCATGGGGATGCTACAATGACTGCAATTCCATTGACCTGTCATAGATCCCCCTCATTCAGTGCTATCGTAACTTCAAACAGTTGCTGAAGAATTGGACATTAAGCAAAGGACTACCTGTATTGCGTTGAAAATGCCATGTGTTATTTGGCTACTACAGCTATTATCTTCATCTACGATTTCCCTTCCCTCTTCTCATGTAAGATCTTAGAAAATTTGCATTACGTTCCCATGGAATCTTTCATCCTTATTCTTCCCAATGTGGTCGTTAAATGAGGCATAGGGTGCTTCAGAGGTCCAGGGGTGGCCTAGTGCAAGACTTGCCCTGGGTCTCCCAAAGCCTCCCCATCTCCCTGAGGTATCCCATGCTCCACTTTCTAACCTTCAGAGTCCCTGCAGGCCTTGAGCCTGCTTCCCATACCACTAGGGCCCACACCCTCCTCATTTAGTGTCAGCCATCCCGTACTTACCTTTCAAAGAGGTCCATAGCTCAAGTTAGGGGAGTAAAGCGAGCTGTTCCATTACTGGGCTGTGTGGTGCAATTCCAGAACCAGCTGCCATTTTCTGAGTAGCTGCAATTCAATGCAGCCTCTTGGAAAATTAGAGACTGCTTCTGCAGTCATACGTCATAGCCCAGAAATGGAATGGCATGGTATCCTTTCTTAAGATGAGCTCTGCAGTGTTCCACAACACTGTGGGACACTGCAGAGTTTGGGTTAGGGGAGCAAAGTAAGCTGCTTTGTGGATGGCTGTATGGTACAACTCCGAGAAGCCAAAATTCAATGTCAGAAAGATTTCTTCTGAGAACATACATCCCACTGAAGGAAAAAGCTTCATTTTTAGGAAATATACTAATCACATTATTTTCTTAATAAGATCTCAAAACACATATTTGTATCTCTTACTTATGACCATTCATTTAACAACTTTTAAATGAATGGTCATATGTGGACGACCCCTGTAAAGTTTCAGTGGCCTTAGAAAAAGTGACTTACGACCTGTACTTCCACTTGTGGTGACTATCATATTGCAAATCAGGTACTTGGCAACCAGCTTGCAGTTGCAGCTTCCTGTTGGTCACGTTATCGCAATTTGCAACTTTTTTTGCCAATGGCAAAAGGCATTGAAGCTAGATTTGCTTGAGATTTGTTGTAGAATCATATCCCACTCAACTTACAACTACAATGATTTACAATGGAAATTTTGGTCCCTATTGTGGTCGTAAGTCGAGGACTACCTGTACTTTCAACTGCCCTGAAAAAATGGGTGGGCAATTGAAAGTACAGGTATCCTTTTTCCATTTCTTTCGTATCTTCTGTTTGCAGCTACAAAAGATGAGAAGAAAAAGGCTTACTACAGAAACAAAATATCAAGTTACATGAACAGAGCGGAAGAAATTAAAAAATATGTTATGAAGGAAAAAGAAGGTACGAAGTTATAATGGAAGATCTTTTTAATTCAGCCATAACTGTAATGATGCTTAGTGAAACTTTGTTCTTGTGCTTAGATGGGAAATGCCACAAACAAATAAAAATCGAAGAGAATAGCAAAGGATTCAGCTATGAAAAATTGTTCCAAGAGTATCTAAATGAAACTGTTACAGAGGTTTGGGTTGAGGATCCTTACATTCGCCAAACCCATCAGGTGAGATAGCGGTGCTACATTTAATCAAGACATTTTGCCCTTTTCCATCTGTAAAATTAATCTTGTTTAATTTTCTATAGTTGTACAACTTCTTAAGATTCTGTGAAATGCTTGTTAAAGGACCATGCAGAATGAAAACTATACACCTTCTTACATCTCATGAAGAAGTAAGTATTTATGACTGCAATCATATTACAAAATTACAAAATATTACAAAATTTAATAAGAATTACTAAAATTATTTAGGATTGCATGAATGTCCTCTTAAGAGTAAATACATTTGCTGAATGGAAGTATTATTGCAATCACTATGATTAGAATACAGAAAAGAATTTTTATTCTGTGAATAATCTATTTCTATCACATTTTGGGTCAGAAAAGTAATTGATCGAAAAATCATTTTGTGATTTTGTGAAAAAGTGAAAAAGATTGCTATCTTTGTGAAAAAGATTGCTATCACTTGCATTATAATTAAATACTTCTTGTATTAATGGAGTTAGTTTTGCTTTGGGAGAAGAATAGTTTAAAAAATAGCTAAATGCAGGTATTTTTTACAGTAAGATAGTATCAATTTTAAATTGATAATTAGAAGAAAATGGAAGATATTGAATCAAATTACTGTTTTGGACTCAGTATTTTATATGTTTCTTGTAGCAGTTCCTCAAAGTTTCTTTCCAATATCTAGAGGAAATGTCAAGAATTTTACTAAGTACTTTTTGCATACAAGTTTATGCCCTACCTCTGAGATACGGTTTTGCTACCCTTTCTATTGTATTAGTGCTTTACAAATTACGAATTTATTCTGAAAATCTGTATTATATTGTAGGAGATGTCAGGAATCACAGAGGGGAAATCTTCCTCTGACTTTTCCACCAGCCCCTGAGGCCTACAGTTTCTACGTTTTTATGTATGGCTTCTGTGTCATGGAATCAGGGTTTTCTTACAAGTCATCTATCATTTACCCAGAAAAATAATTGCTACAGGTTTCTCTTCATTAGATACGGTAATTTGTAAGTTTTGGTTGAAAACATAATGTTAAGGTGGCCCACATTAATGTAATTAAAAATAGTAATGTTTTTCAGAGAACTCTTAATTGACAAGGTTTCAATTGTCTATTCAAGTTTAAATTATAAAATGTCTTTACAGGGTCATGGAAAGAGTCAACAGATGGGTTCCTTAGAAGAAATACAACAGTCTCTAAGGGATTTCGGCATTACACTGGATATATCGTACTCTTCTTCAATACATGATCGAGAGATTAGGTTGGTGATATGTAAAATTACTGTATAGTAAATAAAAATATAATGTACTAAATTTTGGTTAATATTGTGCTTTCTAAAATATGGAGAGACAGTAAATGTCTAGGTATCAGGTTATTCAGAAACATTTCCACCATTTCTTATTGTTAATTGAAAGAATCTAAACAAAACATAATGAGCTTAAAAACAAAGCATGAATCCTTAACTTCAGCTTTACTTACAAGAATACCCCAACCCATTTTGAAATACTGGGGCATCCTGGGAATTGACAGTTAAAAAACTGTACATAATAGGATTTGAACTGTAAATAGAGTACTGTATCTTTTTGCTGCCATCTACTGACTGGGCAGAGTTTTGCAGTCTTCATCTGTTGGCCCTAATCATTTATTTTGTAAAGGTAGGAGAAGCTTTTCATGGGCAGTAATTCTGTGAGAGTACCCATGACATGCTCACAAAATTCCAAATAGGTTTATAGATTTAAAATGTTTGTCTGCCCTTTATTAACAAATTTGTGGTTGTGGGTGTGTGTTTAATACATGATTCTTAAAGGTTTTCCGATCTATCAAAACAAGAGATTGAAAGTGACAGTTATCAGGATGCTGCTTTAATAGTATTTGGCAATCAATATTCATGTGAAAAAATACCTTTCTCTCTCAATATATATTTATGTGCCTGTGTGAAAAATATCTGTGCCTAGGACAGGCCAGATTTCCAAACTGAAATCTACTGTCTTATTAATTTTAAAAGCAATTAAGATATCTTTTAAATAAACATATTTTTCCTGAATTATCTGCAAACATACTTTTGCCATTTTAATATTTTTGAATATTATGTTTCTATATTCTTATATTTAAAAGATTCAACAATGGATGGATGTTTAAAATCGGAAGAGGCCTTGATTATTTTAAAAAACCACAGGTAAGAGATTTTGTTTTTGTTTTCTTTTTTTTTAACAGAGTTCCTGAATTTTTTGCTAAGAAAAAAAACTTTTTATAGGGTCGTTTTTGCCTTGGATATTGTGATTTTGATTTGAGACCTTGTCACGAAACTACTGTGGACATCTTTCACAATAACTACACAAAGAAGACATGATTCCTTCTGAAACCACTCCTGTTTTCTAGGTAAAATCGTTGTCAAGATGTATATTTAATGTGCTGTTTTATAAAATAAATTGTTGTTTAAGCAAAAAGATATGTTTATCTCAAGATATCCTTAAAAGAGGCTTCAATAGTTAAATTATGCTTAAAGGAAAATCAGTATTCTTACCTTAATTAACATCGGATAAAAATATTGGAAGAATAATTAAATTAAAACAAACTACTGAATATATTTTAAAAATGCAATGACTGGAGTCACTACTTCAAACAAATAGCTGAAATAAACCTAGGTAGAGATATAGGTTCATTCAAAGTGACAACAGCACTGAACAAATGGTTTCCTCATAGTTTAGCTGTTGCAGTGTCCTCAAAGTCATGACTGCCATTTGTGTACTTACTTGATGCCCTGCTTGGGATTATGTTGTCTCTGGGACTGTGGTCATGTGATTGTGATTTTCAATGTTCCCTGCCAACTTCCCATAAACAAAGTCAGTGGGAAAGCTGGCTGGAAGTTGTGGTCATGTGAGCTGCTTATTTAATGATCATTTAATGCAATCAGCAAAACTGACATCCCACTTTATGACTGTATCACTTAGCAATAGCAATTCCAGTCAATTGCTGTCATAAGCCACGAACTTTTCAATTTAGCAGTCTAAAAATAGAGCTGCCTACAATCTCTTCGAGTTATATGAAGCTATTGTATATAGGAAAAAAAGCTGCCTGCCAAATTCATTGAACATTAGAGGATGCTGAATGGAGAGGATTTTTGGACAGTTACATAGCTATCACTTGGGTCATATAGCCTGCTAATGTATTTTGAACAGTGGAGTCCGTCTGCTTTTTTTTCTTGTTTTTTTTTTTTTTTGCAAATTCCTACAAAAACCATGCCACTACCACACACATATGTTCAGTCATCATGGAAGAAAATTATGCCATGGCCAGCCAGCTGAGCTATGTATTTGCTGAGAGCTTAATAGTGAACCACATCTTCTGAACTTTGAAAATATTGTACATGCTTGCAATTTACAGCTCATATTTCATCTATGGGTTCTTTAAAGTACCTTTCTTGTCTTGATGTGCCATTCCTAAAACCTGTTTTGTAACATGCCCGTTCTTGTAATTAGTTTTTTGTCTCTCGTCAGAATCTACCCGTTTTTACTCCAATAAAATTATTAAGTGATACTGATACTTTGGAATCAAATAAAAAGATTGAATCTAAACATCTGATCCAGTATGTCATGGAAATTGTAAACAATTTCATTACTTGAAATCTTGTCCTTTTGAATGTTACTGGGTACAGGTTTTTTAATAATATTGTATTATTAAAGTTATAATATGTATACCTTTTAGTTTTTAGTTTGTCAACAAATGTGGATTAATCAAAAGTAAGAATATAAAAATTTTGGAATAAAGGCTTGTTTTTAAAAATGTACTTTTCACCCCAATACAGATCTTCTGTTCTTACTAGAATGATGAAGTAAGAACTGGTAAAAAGTAATTTAAAGGAAAAGAAGCCAAATAATCTTTCACAAGGTTGCTAACATGTTATTTATTTATTAGATTTATTTGCCACCTATGTAACCTTGACTTGACTCTTATCCAGCACAGAAGATAGGGAGACCAAATATCTTTTACATTTTGTTGATTACAACAGGAGTAATGTTTCAGTGTCAATTCAAATGCAGCATAAGTTGGGTGTTTGGAACAGTAATATATTGAATTTGAAAATGGCTATTAGTTATAGCTTTCCCTCCACATTCTTGCTCACCCAAGTAAATTATTATTATAATTGCATTCTTGGTTGCAACTCTATAGTAAGTTACTTCAAGTTCCATTAAACTCAATGGAGTTCACATTTGAGAAAATAGATAAGGACCAGAATATCAATTAACTACTGCCCTTAAAAAAGAAACTTTATATTCAAGTGTTACTTTGTTCAGTAGTTATTATGTAACATTAAATTTACATTCACTGAACTCTTCTAAAATCATATATGACAATCTTGTATTAGCAAACTACTAATTTGATATCCAAGAATCCAGATCATCGCATAAGTTACATTAATGTTATAATCTTCTCACATAAGATATGCAATTTGCTGTGTAATGTAGAATCTGTCCAAGTTCTCAGCAAAGCAGTTGCCACGGCAGTGCTTTCATTTGGGCAAAACTTGTTGCCAATCAGGCTGTTCCTGAGTTCAACACACACATCCAGTGGCAGCCAGTTCTGAGGGACATCTATTTGGCAAGTTTCAATGTTACCATTCTTTATATCCATACATACCCAAATTTCAACATTGGATTCCTTGTGCCCTATGTTAAAGGATGTACTGATTTTGAACTTTGGTGTTTTTCCATATAGCCAATTCCAGGTTTTTAGTTCTATGGCTTTCTTGTTAATTCCAGGGAATTCTGTTTCATTGGCTGGATTTATGACATGGATATGGTTTTCAATGTGATGATGTGAAGCATATTCGCCAGCAATGGCTTCCATAAGCATTTCACAAGTTAATGTGGGATCTTCTTCATAGAGATTTCTCACTAATGCAGGCACACTTGGTGTGGCATTACTTTGGATTCCACTGTTAGGAGTCTTTAACACAGATGTTAGAACCAATTTATCAGTACTGCACAACAAAGTGCAGTGGTGATAAGCAGCAGTTCTTCCTAATTTTGCAGCAGTTCCTGAAATTTTAAAGATTTTGTTTAACAAGAGATCATATCTCTCAGTAGCCTGAACATCTAGCTGGGGTCGCAGGGATTTCAAAGCTTTAACAACCAGTTTTAAATTTTCAATTCTTTCATATTTTTTTCTGTCGGTGAAGAAAGTCAGATTAATGTTGCCTTTGTCATGGTAAACTGCACCTCCTCCACTTCTTCTTCGAGCAAGCTTTATACCCTTCTGCCTCATGACTCCAAGGTTACATTCCTGCCAGGGATTCTGATGCCGACCAATCACTACAGCAGAAGAATTTCTCCAAAGGAGAAGAACATGTCTCTTCTCTAAATCCATGTTATCATGGATCCAATCCTCTAATGCTAAATTCTGGTAAACATCCTGAGACACAGATTGTAGGATAAGCCCTCTTTCCTTTGTACTTTTGAAGCCAGCAGCTGGAACTTTGAGGATACAATATAATGGGAAACATTTCTTCCATGAGAACTGGATTATCATGTTTTAAGGAAATAAAATAATCAAGCATCAAAAGCAATGGAAGTTTTGGCACTATTCAGAATCTTTCAAACCATCGGTTCAATGTGGTGAGCTTTTTTCTTTTCAGAAGCACTGAAAGCAGTTTTAGATTATTTTAATATAATATTGATCCTTTTATGGTAGGTAGCTGCAACCTTTAAATCAGTGAATTTGTAAAATACTTGTTCAATCAATTGCCGATAACCTATTGAAAAAAAATTATTTATTGAAGTTATATCTGACACTTCTCAACAGTACATACACAAATATCTTCCCACATCCTCGGTAGGATTGAAATATTAAAACATCTACAACAGGATGAACAACAAAAATAAACTAAATCATAGCACAAATGACTAATATCTGGTATAACAATAAAAAAATAGTAAATGACACAATAGGTAAGCATCATTGAAACATTCTAAAAAGCTCAGGTTTTATTTTATTTTATTTATAATATTTTGATGGCCGTGCATCTGAAAGGCTCAACAACAAAGACAAATCTGATGCCTCATTTATCCTCCAATAAACCTTAAGAACTTTCTGAAACTCACCTAGGAGGCTAGTCTGATTTACACAGGAAGATCATTCCCCAACAATGACATGACCACTAAGAAGTAGTGCCTTCCAGCTTCAGTTCTCACCTTTCAAAAGTGTGAGACCCCAAGAAGTTTCTCTTTAGCATATTGGACTCATACAGGCTGGAAAAGGCAGTCCTAATATTGTCACGTTAATATATTTACGCAATATATACTGCTTTGGGGATGATATAGCAAACTAAGCTCATTTCCTGACAGTTACGATTCATCATTCAAATCGAGATAACTATGCCTGCCAAACAAAGGTACTAACAAGGTGTAGGATATTCTGCAGGTACAATAGGTCATAATACGTTGAGATACGCTGCAACCTAATGAATTCTTAAGGGAACGCCGAATAGAAAATGTTGCTTCCCTAATCCGCTCCATTTTTTTAAAGTCCCATAATCCAGAGTGTATGAAAAGACTGAGCAAAGATAATGGGGCACTAGTACAAATACGTCTGACGGACAGTTACGGGTGGGTGGGTGGGGAGGCTTCTTCAAACAAGCCGAAAGGCAGGAATAAGTTGATCGCAACAGTATTCAGCGGAAAACTCTTGGCGAACAATCTTACACAGACATCTAAAAGCGCCTTTTCCCCATATACAGGATTGCTACGACAGAGCGCAGTTTAGGCACCAGAGAAAGCGGGGCTGCAGACCTATGAAGCTATAAAGGATATACTTGCATGCTGCAAGGTTCGCCAGACACCCCCATTGTTTTTCAGAGAACAGAAGGGCAAACGAAATATTTACCAGCTTCTCTAGACGGGTCTTTAATCTATTGCAATTGCTGGAACTTTTTGCCCTCGTTGGAACCGCGCGCGAGATTCAGAGTCAAAGACGCCTGGCTTCAACTCAGAAAAGGAGACGCGCATTTTTACGTAGAGACAAAGTTATAGAGAGCCGCTCATCCCATTGTTTGGAGAGAGCCGCTCATCCCATTGTTTGGACTCGAACCATCCCGTTTGCTTAAGACTCTCTCCCCATTTGATCGGCGGAATGGAGAATGAACCCTGAAAAGGGATTGCTGTTCTGCGGAGAGAGAAGAGTAACTGATTTAGAGCTAGCAAAACAGATTTTTAAAGATCAAATCTTGAAGAGGGTACGATTATTCCTATACTTCGCATACCGAAAATGGGGGGGTGGGGTGTATATTGACGGGCTACGTAGTACTTTACAAAAATCTATAGCAGATTTCTGTCATTTCTATCGGTAATCCGCTGTTTCAGGATATTGAAAGGAACTCGAAAGTCGATGAGTAGTGTTACTCTTCCTTGTAATTTTCTCAGATAGTGTGCTTTAAGAAGCACTTCCGTGCTTGGAGTTACTCTTATCAAAGCCCTTCCGCCTGAGGATAAAATTAGAAAGTGCGTTGGTTTCCTCTTTCTCCCTCTCATGTATTATGCTCAGGTGGTTTGAACTGGGGTTGTAATTGCAGAAACTTGCTTTCTCTTTTTAAATTGATTGCAACACAAATTGGGGGAAAATGTATACGTTTAAAAGTAAATTCTCATTTTAGTTTTATAAAACGATACCGTTTGTTAGGAAATGAGTATTACCTACCTTGTTGGGTTGGCAATCTATAAACCATCAATATAGCTTTAAGACTGCTGAATTGCATCATACTGTGTCCTGATTGGTTAGCTCTGCAGCCAATCTCCTTAAGAGGGAGCTAGAAACATGGTTTGTTTTTCTTTGCTGTTCTTGCTCTCTGATATCTCTGTATGCTACTGTTTGCAAATCCAGAAGAATTGTTTATTGTGAATGACTAGGACTGGTAAGAAGACTTTGTTATTGGATTATCCCTAGACTGTAGTTTTGCTATCTCCTGCTTTATATGTGTATGACCTGGACTGTTTATTGGACTGTGCCTTACTATTTCCTGAAAGTAAACACAACTCAGTGTATCTGTGTGTTGACTGTGTTTATTCGTATTTACTCTCAATCGCTTTCATGTACACACCCTTCAACCTATTACACCCGTAACCTATTCAAGGGTTACTCTGCAAATTCCTTAAGATTGGTTATGGGCCCAGGATACTGAGAGTTAGTGTGAATACACAGCACCATATTCAAACAGCTGTTTTTGTGGTTTATTGTCCAAGTGAAGATGGCACAAGAACAGTCAACCAGCATATCTCTGAAAACCCGGTTGGATGGAACAAACTACGTTTCCTGGTCTATGAAGTGCAGTCTACTTCTGCATAAGGAGGGACTATGGGCTGTAGTTCATGATCCACCGGATGTAACTGCTTGGGATCCAGCAGATGATGAAGATGCAAAGAAAATAGCCAAATTTAACCGGGATAATGAAAGGGCTCTTTGTATAATCAGACTGACACTGAGTGACCAGCAGCTAGTCCATATTCGTAGTGAGGAGTCTGCTACCAAGTGTTGGGACACTCTGAAGAGGATTTATGTTCGTGATAGTGTGGGTGCACACATTTACCTTACACGTAAACTGTTTAGAGCTTGTCTTCGGAAGAATGGAGATATGTTAGCTCATTTGGAGTTTATGAAAAGAACTTTACAAGAGCTACATGAAAAGGAGCTGATTTTTTCAGAGCTGAATCAGGTTTATATCATTCTTTCTTCTTTGGATGAAAGTTATGATGATTATGTATCTTCACTGACCAGAGATGAACTGACATTGACTGGCATAACCGGAAGATTGTTAGAAGAGTCTAGAAGAAGGCGAGATAAAGACCAACTGAGAAAGAGACAATCACAGGGAGAAAAACTGTCTTCAACTGCCTATATCCGTGATGGCAAACCTATGGCACGCGTGCCACAGGTGGCACGCGGAGCCATATTAGTGGGCATGCCAGCTTAGCTCTGGGGCGCATGCGCACGCCGGCCAGCTGATTTTCGGGCCTTCTGGGCCCACCAGAAGTAGGGAAACAGGCTGTTTCCTGCCTCTGGAGGGCCTGGGGGGCGGGGTGGAGAAGGCCCGTTTTTCTTTCTTACCTGGTTCCAGATCCTTTCTGTGTATCTGGGAAGGGCAAAAACAGCCTTTCCCACTCCCTTGGAGGCCCTACGGAGGCTGAAAGGGCCCATTTCCCGACTCCCGGTGGGACAGGAAGTGACGTTTTTTCCCAGCCTCCAGAGACTCCTAGAGCGGCTCCTAGAGACATTCTGGAGGCTGGGGACAGCAAAAAATGTCACTTCCTGTCCCACCGAGAGTCGGGAAATGGGCCCTTTCAGCCTCCGTAGGGCCTCCAAGGGAGTGGGAAAGGCTGTTTTCGCCGTTCCCAGATACACAGAGAGGATCTGGAACCAGGTAAGAAAGAAAAACGGGCCTACCAGGCCATCATGTGCCAGGAGCGAGGGGGTTGCCCACGCATGCGCGTGGGCATGTGTGCGCGCAACCCTCCCCCACCCACCCCTCTCCTGGCACGCGATGGCAAAAAGGTTACTCATCACTGGCCTATACTGTTAGAAAGTGTTTCTCTTGTGGGGCTAAAGGTCATATAGCTAGATTCTGTAAAAGGCAAGAAACTGAATACTGATAGTCAACAGAGAGCTAAAAAGGATGTTAGTTTAGCTATATCCAGCTCAACTACAACTGTTCCTTAACACCGTTCATAAGTAAATACAACCATGTGTAGCAGGATTTACTCAAAGTTAAATATGTAGATATGCCCCACTCCCCCTTTAATCGATTCTTGGAGACTGCCTAGACAAGCCCTTGCAGTTTTCTTGGCAAGGTTTTTTTCCCCAGAAATGGTTTCCCATTGCCTCTTTCCTAGGGCTGAAAATATCCAGCCTAAGGTTTGTGCCTAAGGTGGACTAGATTTCAGTCTCCCAGTTTCTAGCTTGATGATTTAACTGCTACACTAAATTAGCTCTCTCTAATATATGCTTTTACTGTATGGCTAAATGTATTTTGAATATAAGCTCCATTCTCCATACTCCTGGTAAAACTGCTTAGAGTTACAGTCCCATTGGCATCAACAGGATTTGGAAATGCACAATAACAGTTGGAAGGGCTCTTGGAGGTCTTCTAGTTCAATCTCTTGCTTAAGCAGGAACCCCTCTGCCATTTCAGGCAGATGCTTATCCAATCTCTTCTTAAGACCTCCAGTGTTGGAGCATTTTCTATTCTTTTATTTTTACATTAAAAATGTTTAATATAAACTTTAAAATTATATATCTTGGTACTTTGATTGTAGTAGGATATAAATGTAATAAATACAAAGGGAGTCAAAACTATTTGAGAAAGTCCACTTTGTTAGCAGATATGAAATGACACCACTTTGTTAATGGAAAGTAAAGGAAATAGAAGAATTCATTAGCAAAGCTATATGGAAAGTAAAACTCGGATTAATGCAAAATATTGAGACAAAGGTATGGTAATAATCAAAATGCTTAGTTTTATTGGACAAAGAAATAATTTCAATAAAATAACAATAAAATAAAACTTGTATACTGCTCAATTCCCAACAAATCTGGGCAACTCATGACAATCAAAGAAATTGCAGTGAATCAATAAAAAATAGAAGTCTGATAAGTCAGATGGATGGAATGTTGAAAAAATAAATTAATTCAAACAAATAAGTAATTTAAATTTTAGAAAAGATAGAATAAAAAGGATATTTCTATGACAACAAAGATCAGAAAGGCAAAACCAATGATTTTGAGTATCTAAGAGGAGTGGAGTATTGTGAATGAATAAAAATGGACAACATTGTTATTAATTCTGAGATATTAAAAGTATCATATAGTCATCAGAAGTTTGAAACAAGTTGATGACATCTGTGTTGGGTTGGAGGGCTGAATAAATACCCACTAAATTTGATCATCAGCACTTAAAAATAGTAACCTTTAGACTGATTTATAATAAACTTGGAGTTTGGGAAGGAATCCATGTATGAAAAGGAGAATAAGTCAAGAAGCTTGGGAAACTCTGAACAATATGATTATAAAAGCCCAATATGACTAAAAAAGAAAAATAAGAAATCCAATAAGAAAACAGCACGACAGCACAAAGAACTTTCTAATAAACTGAAAGACAAAAAGGATAAGTACAAAAATGGAAAGAGGGACACATAACTAAAGCAGAATACCAGCATATACAAATTAAAATAGGCAAAAAAATGGTAAGAGAACACCTGTTCACTCTAGATAAATTCAAATCACCAGGACCAGATGGATTACATTCTAGAGTTCTGAAGGAGTTGGCAGACATGATCTCGAAGCCATTGAACCATATCTTTCAAAGATCCTGGACCACCAGGGAACTACCAGAAGACTGGAAAAGAGCTGATGTGATTCCCATCTTTTTTTTTAAAAAAGGGGGGGGGGAACAGATTCAGGAAACTACATACCAATCAGCTTGAGACCAATATTTGGGAAGATCCTGGAAAAGATACAGATCTGCGAACAGCTAGAAGCAAGCAAACCAGAAGCCAATATGAGTTTGTCAAAACAGATTATGCCAAACAAATCTTATTTCATTCTTTGAAAAAGTGACTAAATTAGTGGACCAATGAAATGCTGTGGGCTTTAGTGGGTTTCAGTAAGGCATTTGACAAAGTAGTAAGGGTTTCAGTAAGGCATTTGACAACAACCTATTTCTTGGTAAGTTAGAAAAATATGAAAAATTCAGATGGATTCATAACTGCCTGACAAACCACACTCAATATGTCCTTAATGGAATTACAACTACATGGAGGGAAGTAAGAAGCAGGTATTCCAAGGTTCTGTCTTAGGCCCAGTACTCTTCAATATCTTCATAAATGATTTAGATGGGGGAATAGAACAGGCATTCATCAAATTTGCAGACACCAAGGTGGCAGGAATAGCCAGTACCCCAGAAGATATGGGATAGAAGGATCTTGCA